TGTGTCATACCTGCAGCTTAACACCGAGCTCTACAAATTATACAGGTAAAACTTCCTTTTCATACAGGTGAGCAGTTCAAGTGTCAGAGCAGGGATGATCCTATATGAGATGACTCAATACACAAAGATATACATCCAAACTTTGGATTTAGTGTTTGCCCTTTTATTAGCATTTACTTGTTATTGGAAATTCATTTTTAAGTGTCCCATCAAACATGTTACTATGTTTTGTGTAGAAGAATTTACTTATTATAATCTATTAGAGGTAAGATTTTGATTCTGACGTTATCTGCAGCTCAGAGATTTCTATATGTGGAGTTTTGTGTAATTTATTTTTCAATATTTTGTAACTTTAAATTTTCCCCTTGGCCTGAAATATATATCCACATTAGTTTTAATTTACTTGGTTTGATTGTGTGCCTTCTACTATTTTCTGATCGTACTTGATTTATGATGAATGTTGTCAATTTGATTTCTTTCAAAATTTGAGGTTTCTCCATGGCTAACCCATGGTGACCTTTGTGATTGATTTTTCCATGGTTATTGAAAAATAATATATTTTGGGAAGAAGGTGTGTGTGTGTTTGCAGAGGATCTATCTTATGTTATTTTGTATGTGAGTGAGAAAAGTTCAACTGGAGTTGTATACATTTTTTTCTTAATACTTCCTAGAATTTGACTTATGAATATTGATGACTTGTGTAACAACATTAATAACTTAAATTCTCATTGTGTATTCCTTTCTTTGTAATAACATGTTCTCCTGTTTGACACTTGGTGTTTTTTGCCGTGCATGATTGATACATGTGCCTTTTGGGGTTTGTTTGCATAGCCCTAATATGCTCTGCCCTATTTTTTTCAAACTATGAGTCACTTTAGTTAAACATATTCTGAGCATACCAATTGTGAGAGTTCCATTGTCCATTCTCCCTTTTGTTCTCTGATTTAAAAAAAATATATTTCCATTTCTTTTTGTAATTTTTATTCTATCTCTCTTACCATTCTTTTATTTTTTTAATCCTCACTGGAGGATATTTTTCTATTGGTTTTTAGCGAGAGTGGAAGAGAGATGGAAAGAAATACCCATGTGATAGAAACACACTGATTGATTGCCTCCTGCAGGAGCTCTGACCAGGGCCCGGGCTGGGGAGGAGCCTGCAACCAATGTGTGTGCCCTTGACCAGAACTGAACACCTCGAACCCTTCAAGTCTGCAGGCTGACACTATCCACTGAGCCAAACTGGCTAGGGCTCTCTTACCATCTTTGATGGAAGCAGACTACAGTAATGATTGTTTTAGTGAAGAATTGTTGTGAAAAGTGAAGATAGCGTCCAGCATTTGTTCTGTAGCAGCCATTGCAGAGGCAATGTGCACGCAGGCGGTGTGAGGGCCCCCCTCCCCTCCCTCTGCTAAGCTCCCTCCTGGGAACCACACAGCTTCTCAGCATCAAGGCCTATCATTGCTCTAAACTGTGACTGTGAGCACCTGTGCCTCATCTCCATTTATTTTGTGCATTCCTGCGCTTACTGCAGGTTAGTGTTATTTTAGGTTGTGTGTGTGTTGTTTAGCATGATTTGGCAGGTTCATTTTTAGGTCTGGGACAGCTCAAAAGTTTTTCCATATAAATTCATGGTAATTGCTTCTTCACTTTTCACCATTTGGCTTAGGGAAAGGTTTCATAAGAATGCTGCACCTCGAGCTAATGGGAGAAACCAGTATACAAACACTTAAACCTCTAGGGCAGGTTTGGCAGTGAAAAGAAAATTCAAAGACAATGGATTCAATATGGGAAGTGCTAATGGACTTGTAGGGCAATACCAGATGGTATTTAGGTGACAGTTTGGAGGCAGTAGATTGAATTACTAACATTCCAGCAGTTTTTTAAAAAAAATATGTAACTCTAACCTCTATCATCCACATTTCTACCTCTTCCATTCAGACCATATACACACAGCTTGGAGAATCAGAAATAAGAATGGTGGCTTAATATATTCATCTTTAAAAACAAAATCCTGTACAAAGAAATGGGTAGTTCATATAATTTCACATGCATATAAAGCCTGTTCTTTAAATTGCACAATTTATATATATATATATATATATATTGATTTTTCCATGGTTATTGAAAAATAATATATTTTGGGAAGAAGGTATGTGTGTGTTTTATATATATATATAAAAAATCAGAGAGAGAGAGAGAGACAGAAACATCAATGATGAGAGATTATCTATGATTTGCTGCCTCCTGCATGCACCACACTAGCTATTGAGCCAACAACCCAGGCATATACATTTTTAACTCTGAGCTGAATAACTCCAGCTATTAATTTTAGGAAAGTTAACTGAATTAGCAAATGAACATAACCAATGGACACAGACAGTAGGGGGTGAGGGCATGTGTTGGGGGATGGGGGTGGCTGGGGAGAGGTCAATGAGAGGAAAAGGAGACATATGTGATACCATATGTAATACTTTAAATAATAAAAAATGCAAAACAAAAAACAAGTGTAAAGGAAAGACCAATAAATAAATAAGGGGGGAAAGTGTTTTTTATATTTTAAAAGTATTGTGTTCCCCATTGGAAGGCTTCTTTTGATTTCAATGACAGTGCAGGGAATACCCTGATAGGTGTAAAATGAAGCTGTACTACAAAAATGTAAACCTTGTCTAAAAAGCCCAAGTCAGCTCTGATCAACATCCACAATTCTAGATTTTATTGAGATAAAGACTTTGGTGTTTATCTTTCTGAATGGCTGACACAGCCTTTCATTTTTCACACACATTTTAATTTAAATGCTACTATACTGCTGCACAGTATCTCTTTGTATGGGTACTATTCAAGAGCAAACCACAGGCCCAAATGCCATCACTTATGCTAAAGCCCATGACACCAAACTTAGATTTAATACCTGACCTATTGCTGTTTGAGTCCCTCTCAGAAAGGTAATCTTAGTTAACACCCAGAAATGCTCTGTGAATGAGGTAATGTGTGACCTGGGCCTTCTCATCCCCCATCCCCACCACCCCCATTGGAAAAAAAAAAAGGCAATTTGCATATAAAAAACTCTGGCTGTCCACCACTCCCCCAAAATGTCTTGGTCTAAAAATAGTCCTTTCTTTTGTTAATAGCTCTCTTTCTTATTAAAACTGTCCCTTTTTGTATAGTCCTTTGGAGTAGGTATAGTCTCTTCCCTTATTTTCAACAGGGAGAATTAAGTCCTATTTTAAATTTGGAGCAACTCTTCAACTTGCTCTAATGGATGCTGCTGGATTCATGAATTGTTTAATACAAACAATTAAATCTTCCAACTTACGTGGTTAAACTTTGTTTTTTAATAATATACAATTGTGCATTTTATTTTCCCCCTATAGCTAAGCATTTAGCTGTTGTTATTTACTACTACTATCGTTATTAATTTGTTGCATGTATATCCAAGCAATGGGCTTCTCTATATTCTCCCTTGTACACATAAGCAAATGTTTATTCTGGGTTGATAGTAAGGGAAAATACAAATTTAAAATAGGACTTAATTCTCCCTGTTGAAAATAAGGGAAGAGACTATACCTACTCCTGCATCCTCCCTACCTTTTCTGAGAGTATTTCATTTGAAACTTGTAGGTTTTTTCTCTCTTTAAGTATGTGAATTGATTTGAAAGCTAAATAAGCCTCTGCCAGCTTTCTCAAGGACCTTGAATACATATCAGAAAAGGTCAAAGAGTTATTTAAAAATGTAATATACTATATAATAATCCTATATAACAAAAGGGTAATATGCAAATTATCCCCTTGACCAGGAGTTCGACCAGGGGGCAGGGCCAGCCTGTCCGTCACCAGGGGTCCCCCTCATCCTGGCCATGCAATAATTTGTGCATTGAGGCTCAACTCTACATATTTGTGATTCCCAGGCAAAGCTTAGTTGGTGAAAAGTATGAGCTCCACTTTGCAAACCATGACTACTATTTATTCCCAGATCAAGCATAATTCTGTGCCTGTCAGATCAAGTGTAATTCTGTGCTATTCCCCCACCCCCGCTATTAATAAATGCATGGATCATTCCTATCCAAGTTCATAATAATGAATAAGACAATTTTTTATAGCTCATTTCACATTAGCTTTGGATTATGTAACAAATACCTTTAAATATCCCTCTAAAAAAGAGAAGTTGCACCTTACACATGATACCATTAAGTTCCTTAGCAATAGAAGCAAAAGTAAACAGACACAAAGTTTTCTAAGGCATAAAAATAGACCCCGGATTGCCTGGTAGAGCTACATTAATTTAAAACAAAGACAACAGTCAAAATATTTATTCTGTTCTTAATTGGGTTGAAAGGTAATACAAATATTGTGAGCCAGATGTACCTTCCTCATGTATTATACTTTAAATGCTCAAAACTTTATATAAAACCACAGGACCTTGTTTCTCTCACAATTCACACTATGGAACCTTGGATCTAACCTTTGAATAACTTCTCTCCTTGACCATGACTGTTATAGATCTGATTATACAAGCTCCAGTTAGAAGCTTGTTTTACTGAGCAGAAACTTCAAGCCTTCTGTGGCTAATAGTCTAAAAGCCTTCCTCAAAAGTGAAGTTAGAATACAAAAATATAGACTCGTACCATTACTGTAAGATTGCTGGGAAAGTTTTATTACCACCCCAGTGCTTACACTAAGAGCCACAACGTGCAACTCGTACCAAATCCTGGACATTGTCATTTTCAAAGATGTTAAGAAGGATGTAAACATTATCCTGAACCTGAGGGCAACAGCAATGAGAGAAGCCCGAGTGCTCACTCTATGTCTGGCCATGCTCAGGATAGACACTAATACCCACTTCAGCTAAGGCTCCCATGGCCCTCACAGTCACGTTAAAGCACAGCCCTGGGAAGATCCCAGAGCAGGGCATCCACCATCTCAATCCCTTCTCAGAAATTTGCTCCAAATGGAGAAATGAAGTCAGGCTGCCTCTGGCAAGCAGGAGAGGAGCTGAAGCCACGTCAGCAACACTGCGATTTGCTCTCTGCTGGCAAGGCCTCCTGGTGCAGCTTAATTTTGTCCCCATCGTTGTCTTCACTGGGAAAGCTTTGGTGGTTCATGAGGATGTTCTCTACCAGGAACCGGGCTGCTTCCTCTATGTTAATGTTGTCCTGTGAAGCAGGAATAAGGAACAAGATTAGTTCTATGAATTGACCCACAGAATAAAGCATTAAGAACATTCACAGGAACTAGGAAAGTTCCTCAGCATCATCTTCTCTGAAGTGTTAGCCAACAGTTCAATGCCACTATATCATGTGGCTATGGAAACCTCTTTTTTTGACAAAAGATCACCTTTTTAGATGTTCCTATTTTAAACGTTTTGCCACTGAGGTTAAAAAAATGATTTTGATGGTTGCAAATAAAAAAAAATCTATTTTGATGGTTGAAAATAAAAATTCACCCCCTTCTGGGTTGCCACTCACATGAATGGAAGCACTGAAAAGAAACCATCCCTGCCCTTGAACATCTAATTCAAGCATTCTGGATACATCTGAAGAAAAATGTCAAGGGCCACACCACATTAAAATAGGATAAATCCATCCTGTTGCTTCCCCATCTCTGAGTGATGCCAGAGGAGTGGTTCTTGGCTTCACACAGGTAAGAATTCAAGGCAGGAGCCAGATAGACAAGAGGTTAACGTGAAAAAGTAGGTTTTATTGAGCACAGAGGACACGTAAGTAAAGCTACTCCACAGAGTAGTCTCATTTCCTTCTCTTGTGGGGTCTCATGAGAGAAGGAAAGAGACTCCGACAATTTCTAGAGGTTAAGCTTATATCTGTTCTGTTTATAGTTTCCTTGGAAAGTTGCTGGCATGGGGAAAAGTTGGGATTAACTTTAACCATTACAAGGTATATTTTGTGGCCTTGTGCTTTCCCTTTAAGGTATGGGTGGAGCGGTAAGGTACAGGTGAGGAGCTAGTCATCAATCCTTGTGGAAGCTTTCCCTGTCCAGAGGCTCTTCCTGGTCTGCTTGCATCTCTGGTCAGCCCAGTTCCATGTCAGGCAGCACCAGGCAGGCCCTTGACTTATTTTGACTTTAGTTGATTTATATAGTCCTCATGTCCCTCCTGTATTATTAGTAGGAATCATTAATTTTAGATGGCACATGTAAATTGACCTGAGACAATGTTGTAGGTGTGATGTCCAGTAAGACTATCCTATGGAATCACTACCTATCACATGTGTGCTATAGATTTATAAGTAGTCATCAATTAGACAAAAAGCAACACAGCAAAATCTGTGATTTTTAAAATATCTAATTTAATATTTTTAAATAATTTTATTTAGTAAAACTGCAATAATAGTAAAAATTCACCCATATTCCTCAAATGTTAACATTTTAGATAACTGAGTACAGGAAGTTAGATAATAGTACTATCAGGAAGTTAGATAATAGTACTATCAGCATTATTCTATCTATCATATTCAAATCATACCGACTGTACAGGTGAGCAGCTGAATTTTGCGGTCATGTCTCCTGTTTCCTTTAATCTTGAACAGTTCCTTAGTCTCCTTACTTTCATGAATTTGACATTCTCGGAGAGTACTTGCCAGAGAATATCTCTTAATTTGGGTCTGCTTGATGCTTCCTTGTCATTAAGTTCGTTATGCATTTTGGACAAGAATAAGGCATGCATGATCTGTCCTTATCAGTGTATGAGGCCCACTTGCTTAAAATTCTGTCTGTCAGGTAGAAGTGAAACTTCTAACACACACAAACAAGCACCCTCTACCCTCCAATACTTTATGCTTTTGATTTTCACTTTTGCTTTCTTGCATATCTAGGCTGTTAAGACTTTCAAAAGTGACTTATGTGTGTGTTTATTTACTTATTGGTTTGAGAGAAGAAGGGAGACAGGGATGGGAGACAGGGATGGGAGGGAAGGAGGGAAAGAGGGAGGAAGGGAGGGAGGGAGGGAGGAGGGAGGGAGGGAGGGAGGGAGGGAGGGAGGGAGGGAGGGAGGGAGGGAGAGAGAGAGAGAGAGAGAGAGAGAGAGAGAGAGAGAGAGAGAGAAACATCAACTTGTTCCACTTATTTATTCATTCATTGATTGATGCTTGTATGTTCCCTGACCAGGGATTGAACCTGCAACCTTAGCATATTGGGACAACACTCTGACCAACTGAGCTACCACACCATGAAAGATAAAAAAAATTAAAAAAAAAAAAAATTATCCAGCTTCCCATAATGGTTCAAAGAAAAATTCTCACTCTATTATTCATGAGGAAATATGTCACAAATATTGATACTTTCTTCTTGTTCAAATAATTTCATACACAGTTAATATAAAACTCATCAAGTGTCATCCAAATACATCTCTCTGACTCTTTCAATGCCTTTGCTAGCCTTGCACATGAACTACATCTTCACCAGAGTCATGGCCCTAGGTTTTGTTAGCCTTCTGGAAAATTTAAAAAAAAAATGTTTGTGCTTCACCTCATAAATTCTTGGTGCACGAGACTTCATTTAAAGACTCAAGCTCACAGAAAATGGCATTTGTTATTTACTCTAAATAACAGCTCATTTTTATTTTAATGTGAAATCTATCCTATTCAACTCCCACTAACCAATTTTGAAAGCATTGCTGCTGTTGACTGAACTTTTTTCTAGGCTTCCAACCAGCACTCACCTAAGTCCACCTAAATACTTCATATTTACAAGCTAACAGCAGGGCGGATACTCAGGGAGATCTCACCTTAGCAGAGGTTTCAAACCATCCCGTGAAGCCATGTTCTTTGCAGAACTGGTCCATCTGGGCAGGACTCTGGCCACCTTCCTTTTTCTGGTCACATTTATTAGCTAAGAGAACAGCAGGGATAGGGCTACCATTTGGAAGATGAACTTTACTGTCCAGGTCACTTTTCCATTTTAAGACGGCCTCAAATGTGGAACCTCTCGATATATCAAAGACTACAAAAGCACCAACAGCTTCTTTATAGTAGACTCGGGTCATGTTGCCAAACCGCTCCTGCCCTAGAAAAAAAATACAGTAAGAGGTTAAACACTCCTGATTTAGTCAGGATCCCTATTTAGATAGAACCTCTCTGACCCTAAGAATAATGGCATAAACACATATTCTCCCATTCCACTGCAACATCAACTGTGAGATTAAAAACATACACACAGAGATGACTCACAAAGCAGAGTGGCTGATCATGTGGCCTGAATACACAAGGAACTCATTTTCGTTCTGCTCGTGTACAACACGGTGTCCATAACCTTCAAGGTCAGTACATACAGTACAGAGTCCATCACTTCCCTCTCTCCTTGGGCTAAGAGAAGAGAGGTACCAAAGGAAAAAAGCAAGCTGGGAGTAGAGGAAGAAGAGACAAGAATAGAAGAAAATGAAGCTTGCAGGAAGAAGATAAGTATAGTGGGTTAATGCCAACCAAAAAGATTGGGACTGGACATGAGATAAAGAATCTCATGCTCTTAACTTATCTTTCACATCTCCACCGGATTTTGACTCGATATACAAGATTGCTCTCTTCTAAGAAGGCAGACACATGCAAAACTATTATTTTAGAACAAAAGGTGGCACCATGGTTGTGCTATTAAAGGATCAAATTACAGAGTTCTCCAAAGATTGTACTTTTAAAATAATTTAACAGGTTAAAAACTTTTTGGGGAAAAACTATTGCTTACCCTATCATATAGGACTTTGCAAAGCATGCTCTTACTATCTGATATCACAGTATTCTTGGAGTAGGAAGGTCCTTATCGTCAGCTGACAGATGAAGAAACACGCAAAGAGCTGCTTGACCAGTATTCAGTAGCAATGACTCAAGATGAGACTTGAACCTGGGTCTCCTGACTCCCACATGCCTATGGAAATATGACGCCAGCCATTCTGAACTTGCAGTTGCTTTGACTTTTAAAGCTTATACCTTCAATCAGCCAAGTTACTGAATAGAGGACTAAGAAAACATGAGTGGCAATCAACATTAATCTGAGATTTATAACTCTGATCAATGTTAAAAAACACTGCAGTAAGACATTTTCCTAGTAAAACACACGATGAAAAGCATGCTTTATCTACATTTTATTGATAGTAACAAATGCAAAGCTACCCTGAATAAATATATTTCTCCATCAAATTCTACTAAGCCATCATGCACTTTTAGATATTAATGGAATAATGGAAGGATAAAATAATTTTAGTCCCCCCCAAAATCTTGATTATTCTGAGATTCTACTTTCCACAAATACGTAAGTGAAATTCCTGTAATGCTGAACGCTCCTGGGTTGTGTCCTATGACTGGCCATAGTTACTCACTACAAAGACAGTTGCATAAGTTTTGTTTTGTGTGGTGTGGATATGTTAAGAATTAGAAGGTTACAGCAATATGGAAACTCAGCAGGACCCAGGAGACCTTCCTCTTTTTTTAAAATCTTATTTTATTGTATTGATTTCAGAGAGGAATGGAGGAGAGAGGGATAGAAACATCAATGAAGACAGAATATCATTGATTGGCTAGCTCCTGCACACTCCTTACTGGGGATCCTGCCCAAAACTGTGGCATGTTTCCCTGACCAGGAATTGACTGTGACCTGCTGGTGCATGGGTAGACACTCAACCATTGAGCCACATTGACCGGGCGAGAGATCTTCCTCTTCATAGGCCTGAGGAAGTAGTTCAGATGGTGGGAGAACTTTTAAGCAACACCATGTTCTTCAACCAGTCCTGTGGCTATTTCTCCCTGGAGGGAGAACACTTCCATGCTTTCCCGACAAAACACTTAAGTGGACAATATTATAACTGGAAAAGAACAGCCTGTGTTATTTTAGTCATACCTCTCTTACTTTGTAGCCAAGAAAATAAAACCCCAGGGAAATGAAGTTCCTCAAGTATCCTATGCTGATTGGTTATCGAGCGTGCTGTCTGATCTGTTGGGCAAATATTTTCTGGGTATACACTGCTCCCTATGTCCCCATGTTTCCAAACAGATCCAAGGCAGTAAGTACCATAGCACAGCCGTAATGCACAAGTTAACCCTCTGCTCTCTGTCTCTTAAGGCTTTTCTATGGCAGCTAAGGGAAATGTCCCACTGCTGACTACCTAAGTAACTCTGATATTAGGGATGGCCTTTTTCATTCATATTGCTGTGGGCCCATTGCCAGCATATTCCAAAGAACTCTACATTGTCTTATCCTTTAAAAAGAAGAGTTACTTCCTTCTCTAGAAGTTACTATCCGTGTTTTTATTATAACTACACATCTTGGCACTGAGAAAGGAGAAAAAGAGCACTGTACCAGTCATCTAGGTTCAGAGAAATGTAAAGATGCACACCTTACCCAGAGGGATGACCCCTAGGGTACACATGTTACCAAAAGTATTAAAATGCTTATCTAATATCTGGGAGTATCCAACTCTAATAACTCTGAAAAGAAGTTGAGACAAGTACTGCATTCTTGAACCATTATCAGAAACACAGGCCACACATGCTTTCTCTTAGGATTTTAATCACTGGTTTCCTTTAGTTTGCTAATGTTTGTCTCCATATTTTATGTTCATACCCCACTTGCTAAATAATCTAAATGTTTCTTAATGTTGTTTGAAACTCAAAATATAAATTTCACAATTACAATCAAGTCAAGCACTGGGACAATTGGTGCCTAGTTTTCCAAGTATAAGTGCTTACTTTTTCCCATGCACTGGGCTTTTGCTCAAGGTGACTGGATGAAAATGCATACTTTCTAGTGAGTGCATGTGAAACCATTTACAAAAATCCTTAAATATCACTGTGCACTTTAGAGATGAAGTTCTTCTAACAAGCTGATATGGTTGGCGACTGATAGGTCAAGACCCAGCCAAAATTTAAGTCCAATCATTGGTTCTAAAGGATAACTGTATGTCCATTTAACACTTTATACAGCTTGATTTAGGTAATAATGTGGTGTTGTAATGTGTCTTGGGTTTTACATGTAAGAGGTTATAATTTGTAGCCATGGGAGTATTTTTGTTATTTTTAGGCATCAAGTTTATGACTCATTGTGCTACTAATTTATCAAGCTATTATAAACTTACCCCAGAATTACACTCTAGTATTTAACATGTTAGAATTATAAAGGTATTGTTAAAAGTAAAACAATTTCTTAAACTTCCATAATAATAATCAATAAAAGGATATGAGAATAGACTGTATGCTAGTTGCACATTCCCCCTGTTCCCTGAACTGACTTGCATAATTTTCCATAAAATGAATGTATTATTCTCAGTAAAAGAGGTTTAAAAGATAATGCATCAAATTAGCACCATCTGAGTGTAGATTTGATATGCACTGAATTTCACAGTTTAATAATGTACTACTAAGAAGGTAAGGGGAGTTACATGATATAACACAATTCCATTCATTTCTCTAATTTTCTTTTTTTTTAATGTGTTTTTATTTATTTTTTTAGAGAGAGAGGAACGACGGATATAGAGAGAGAAACATTGATGAGAGGAAAACATCGATATGCCACCTTCTGCACAGTCCTTACTGGGGACTGAGTCCACAACCCGGGCAGGTGCCCTGATGGGGAATGGAACCAGTGACCTCTTGGTTCATGGGTCAACACTCAATCACTTAGTCCTATGTGAAATGATAGGGAGATAAACATAACAATGAAACCTTTGATGTCAGAAATATCTGGATCCATGCTCCATCTTTGTAAGTCAGTGACATAATAACATAATAGCTGTCCTCAACTTTAGTATAAATCAGATCACCCATGAGGCTTGGTAAATTGCAAATTTTCAGGCCTCATCTCTGGGAATTCTAATTTGCTAAGGATGGAGGATTACTAATTACCTAACCCAATATCCCATTACACAATTTTATTTGGAGAAGCAATATAAAAATGTTTTTAAAAGCCCTAGATTTCCTAGCATGTACATTTGATTGAACCACAAAAATATGAACTATGGCCAAGGAATAGCTGAGTGGCGAAACTTCCGCTTCAATCCATAAGAACTTTATGGTTCTGCTCACCAGCCTTAGATGGTCCAACCACACACTTACTAGGTGAGTTAACTGACTTCATGGTGATGTTTGTCAGATGAAGCCAAGTCTGTTGATACAGTTTGATGCTAACTAATCTGCCTTTTAAGCACCTCCCATGAGTCTGATGGAGGAGGCACCATATAACCACACTAAATAAAACAAAAAATGCCTCATACATTTAGCTTAATTTCAAGAAGCAATAGAAAACATCACTGCATAAGATGCTTACGGCAAATATCTGGTTAGAAGTTAATGTAAAGAATGGGAAGAAGAGGATGTTAAGGCCATATATCAGTTAGAAAGACCAATAGAGATCCTTAAATTAACCCTCTGTTAGCCATTTATTTTTATGTGGTTCTATCTGGTTCATCTCGTGCAAAAGAAGAGTGAGGAAATTACTGATTCCTAGTCTCCTGGATTGCAAAGGGTCAAAAAGCTTTTTTGACAATATTATTGAATAAAATTATAAAGCACCTTTATTTTCCTTGAACTTTTATGTCCTTCAGAAATTTCCCTACATTTATGCTTTTACTATTTTTATTATCATTCAAGGTAAGATCTCTACAACCATAATCCAACTTAAACTTGTAACTTATCCACTCTCTATTAGGTAAGTATAGTTTAAGTGTGAAATCCTTACTATTTTAAGAATATGCTATCTTGGGGTTGCAAATCTAAGGCCTTCAAAGTCTTCCTCTTTGCAAGTATACTTTCAATCTGTCTTAATAAATGCCTAGAAGTATATGTTAATTATGCTTTTTATTTTCTACATTTTATGAAGCTCTGACATCCTAGGGCCTTGTGGACCAAGGGAAGGACTGACCCTCCCAGGTTAGCTAGTTCTTAGAGACAATTTGCTGAGAGCATGTCTTTGATATGTAAACCAACCAATACAGAGTCCATACACTCCATCAGCCTTCTGGTTGCAGGCCCCTGCAGTCCAGGAGTCTATCCTCAGGCACTAAATCACCCCACAGCCAGCAATTAGACAACTAGGGACCACCTTATGCCCTAGCCCTCTGAAATTTTTCCAACTACCCAGACTTAAGTTTGCTCAGCTTGTCTATGCTGCCTTGCACATTCCCTCCTATAAGAGCCCAGGCTTTCCCTTCACACATCTTGCCACCTGACCAAGGAGGTCCTCCTCTTGGGAATCGTAAGTAACAAACTTTGTTTACAATGGCTATAGGCTCCTGATGCGTAGACCCCATCAAACCTGAATAAAAATGAAGTCCTGGGAACATTTAAAAATAGAATAAGAATCATTAAAATTTCATATGAAAAGCGTAAGAAAATTGAAAGATCAAGATAACACATAGATGATGAATAAAAGTTTTCCCAAAGTATATTTAATCTTGTTAATTGCTGGTGTGTTTGGGCTGAATGGTCTCTAACATCCAGGAATCCATTGGGGGATGGGGAGGGTGGTGGTGGTGGTATGTGTGTGTGTGTTTTAAGGCAAAAGTGCAAGAATATTCCATTTGGGCTGATATGTATCAGAATCCGATAAAGACCATGTGTCCTTCCTGGCTGTACAGGTCTTTTCAGGAGGAATGAAAAAAAAAGAGGTGATACCCAGAAAGAAAACTCTGATGTTTTTGCTTTCCCCAAGTCTCGAAACAGCAGCATTTTTCCTTGAAGCTTAAAAACACAACTGTGCCTTATAAACTTTTCATTTGCCTGCACTGGGACCTAATCATAATTTAATAGCTAAATATCGCGTTTTTTAAATGAAGACTAATGCAAAGTCAACAAGCCTCCTACACAGGGGCTTAAAATCGCCTTCCTGGAAATTCACAGTCACACTGAAGATTCTGGGAGAATGATTCTCACGTGGCACGGCAACCGTTAGAATCCAGGACTGTCATAAAGCAATACTACTGTTCAGAAGTGTTCTGTGAAATAGCAGGAAGTGTTTCGAAAGAAGCCTCTGGCTTCAAAAGATGACTTTTCAAACGAACTTTTGGTTTTCTGGAACCAAAAAAAACCCCCCAGCTGATGATGCCCCTTTCTCTGGGGGACGGATGACCATAAATGTATTTTCGTATCTGAAGTAGGGAAGTCTGATCTTAAATAAACGAAGACCTGAGTTATAGTTTTTCAGTCCTTTCTCATAGGTAATAAGCTTAGGATGAAAAGGGCACTGCCTTGCCTCGCTCACAGACCTGTGTCCCCATGGTCCCTGTCCTCCCCCACCTGGGTGACCAGAGAAGGTATGGGCTTCGGTTTATACATTTACAGGGTCGAGGATGGCCTCTCCAAGCCTGAACGTGCCCCAGCCCAAATACGGAGCTGCTTAGCACTGGTGATAATTGGACAGAGCACCGCTTCCATATTTAGACTTACCAAAAGTTGACATCTTTTTTAATACCCACATCCCACCCAGCTCACCTCCCGGAGTTCAAGTGTTCACAAATTAGAGCAAGGAGAAGAGGTACCCCTCAATGAGGGGTGTTATGCTCCCAAATGACAGCTGTCAGCAAATGCCAGGAAAGCAGATTGTGGGGGGTGGGAGGAGAGAAACTGGTGCAAGAGTGGGGCGCTAGATGCTGATTTAGAGAGAGAAGGAGCACCGAGTTTCAAGAGATGCTTTCCCAAACCTCTCCTGGGGTGGCCTGACCTGGAAATGAGAGCAGTCCTTGCAGAGAGGAGTTTCACTCACAAAGAGGAGGGGTCTGGGATCACCCCAGGCAGGGGGGTGAAAAACGTTCTGACAAGAACCTGGTTTCAGTTTGGTTATTAGCTCACTCCCTAGAGGAGTCACTTTGAGTCAATCACGGACTTCAGTTCTCATCGGTGAGGGTGAAAGCTGAAGGGAGCAGCCGGCCAATCTCCCGCGACCCTCTCCCGGTGCTGATAAGCTTGTCCAGGCTCAGAGTTCAAACTTCTGCAGAGGCCCGTTAGGCTTGCTCCCCTCGGGCCAGGGGGGCGCGCTGAGCCAGGGCTCTGCTCCATCCCTCGCACAGCAAACGCCTTCCCCAGACTCAGCAGGAGCATCCCACGGGGCTCCTGAGCCATGCACTGACTTCCCTGGTCCTGCGGCTAAAGTCCCCAGCTACCGCGCGGTGCCCTGTCCTGCTCCGCTGGGGACTCCGGCCACTCCCTCCCCCGTGCGACTTAGTCTCTGTTCCAACGGTGCCCAGGCGAGCCCAGGGGTCGAGAGGAGACCGAGCAGGGTCCCCCGGCCCCGGGGTCCCGGTGGTTGGCGAGCCTGGCGGACGCCCCTGCCCCGAGCCCGCCGCCCGCCCGCCCGCCCGCCGCGGGCTCCCCGCGGGCGCCGCTCACCCGCGATGTCCCACAGCTGCAGGCGCACCAGCGTGCGGCCGTCCCAGTGGAGGACCTTGAGCGCGAAGTCCACGCCGATGGTGGCCCGGTAGTGCTGGGAGAAGAGCTGGTGCACGTAGCGCTTGATGATGCTGGTCTTGCCCACGCCCAGCTCGCCGATGACCAGCACCTTGAAGAGGTGCTCGCGGGCCTCGGGGGCCTCGGCGGCGGCGGCGGCCGCCCCCCGGCCCAGGTCCCCGGCTCCGCCGCCCGCCATCGGCGCCCGGGCCCCGCTCCTCCTGCCCGGCCCCCGCCCGCCGTCGGAAGAAACTTCGTCGACGCCGCGCCCGCGACGCAGCCCGATCGGTCACAGGACCCGGAACCCCAGGCCGCTGCTGCCCGTGCGGGGCGGGGAGGGGGCCGGCCCGGCCTGGGGGGAGGGCCGACTCGCGGCGGGTCCTCCCTCCGGGGCGTCGCCAACCCGCCGGGGCGGCCCGGAGCCCGCGCGCCCCCTGGTGGCCAGGCCGCCGGCAACTCGCGGATGGCCAAGGCGAGTGCAGGTGGTTCAAGGTCAGCCTGACAAAGTGCAGGCGCCCCTGAGCCAGCTCCTGCAAGTCTGGGTCAGAGCCGGGAGGGTGGGAGGTGGGCGTGGGGTGGGACCTAGGGAGGTGCTGGCCTTGGACTGAACCTTCATTCCTGGCTCTGTCTGCACGGAGGCGGTTTGACATCTGGAAATCATTGACTTTGCTTTACCTCTAGGGCCCACTGTTGTCGGTGTCTATGAATATGTGTTTAGTGTGTGTTTGTTTTTGCTTAATCCCTTCAACCAATTTTACCCAGCTCCCAACCCCCTCCCCTCTGACAGCTGTCCGTCTGTTCTCTGTATATTTGAGTCTGTTTCTATTTTGTTTTGTTTTGTTTTCCACACAAAGTTCTCACCCTTTTTAAAAAATATATATTTTATTTATTTTTTTACAGAGAGGAATGGAAAGGGATAAAGAGTTATAAACATCAATGAGAGAGACACCAATTCAGCTGCCTCCTGCACACATTCTACTGGGGATGTGCCCACAACCAAAGAACATGCCCTTGACGGCAATCGAACCTGGGACCTTTCAGTCCGCAGACCGACGCTCTATCCACTGAGCCAAACCGGTTAGGGCTATTTTGTTTGTTCATTCACTTCCAGATATAAGTGAAATCCGATGGTATTGGTCTTTCTCTGACTGGCTTATTTCATTTAGCATAATACCCTTCATGTCTATCCATGATCTCTCAAAAGGTAAGATTTCCTTTTTTTTTTTTTTTTTTTTTTTTTTACAGTTAAATAGTATTCCATTTTCTAAATGCACCACAGCTTTTTTATCCTCTTGTCTACTGTGGGGCTCTTGGGCTGATTTCAAGTCTTGGCTATTGTAAATGGTGCTGCTGTGAACTCCAGGGCCGAGCTAGGAGAGGTGAAAGGGAAGGGCAGGGTGGCTCTGAACCTGATAAAGGATGAACAACGCGTTAGTGTTTAAATGGAGGCATGAGTGTGAGGAAGACGACGAAGGGTCTCATGGGTATTTTACTTTCAAGCTTTCAGCTGCTAGAGACTCTGAGATAAGTCCTAGGAATTGATTGAAAAGCAGTAGATAGTACTGAGGGCTTTTGTTTGAAAGAAGAAAGTCTTGTCTTTCTTGAATGGAGGATGCCCTCCTCCCTACTATTTAGAAACACCGGAAGCTAATACCCTTTGATTCTCCCTTAAATGAACTAAAGCACTACTTACCCAGCTAGCCTCGCTCCACCTGACAACCACTGAAGTGTTTTGTTGTGTGTTTTTTTGTTTTTGTTTTTTCCCAGAGGTGGAGGCGTTTTAAAATTTAAAAGTCAAGGTGGGAGTAAGACCTTTATTAGAATAGCTATTGAAAAAAAAAATCAAGTTTTATGGCCAACCAGCATATGATTTTTACGTTCCCCCAACCAGAGAGCTTTTCCAATTTTCTCCAGTTTGGGGGAAGGAACCCTCCAGTTATTGCCATAAGTGCAGCATATTGTCCAATATGTACATATTACCATAGATTCCTCCTTCTCTAACCCTCCTGGGACACCACTGGCATTAAAGTAGAACTGCTGTGCTGAACTTATATGAGACAAATGATTTAACATTTAAAATGGTCACAATTACCAGGGAAGGCAGGATACTAGCTTGGATCCGGTGTTCCTCCCTGAGTGGTAAGGGTTTGTTAGGACAGAGTATCAGGCCCCTTCCTTAGGGATTCTGACTCAGCAGGTCTGGGTGGACCCAGGTAATTTGCATTTCAAACAAGTTTCCAGCTGATGCTGATGCTGTGGGTCTAGGAGCACATGGTTTGGATCAGTGCCTGCTTCTCCAACTTAAAAAGGCCACATGAATCATCTAGGATCTCATAACAGCACAGGTTCTAATTCTGATGTGTGGGGTGGGGCTTGAGATGCAGAATTTCAAATAAGTTCCGAGGTGATGGGAATGCATGGGTTAGCAAGGGTTTAGATTAGAATTTAATAGTTCCCACATTTCTTTCCTCCCACCTCCCCTTTCCTCTGCCAGGGTTCCCTTTACTTCCCAAAGGAACTACTTGAATCCATGTGATTATCTTCACATCAGCTTCTAAAGAACTGCTAACGCAGGCATGCAGTAAGCATAATTCAAATATGAAGGGAAAACACATGCACGCAAATGTTCCTAATGAGAATCCCAGTCTTTCAAATGGTTCTTGTTTCTTCCTGTAAATGACGTCTCACTTCACTTTTTCTGTTTTCTGTGTTATGTCCTTATTCGGAAATCTTCTCCAAACTCTCAAAAAGACCTATAAAATCTCTCATAAGATAGTCAAATTTTTATCAGTTAAACTATCATATCAGTTCCATTATTTCTTATGAAGGTATTCCTTCTGCAGTATATATTTCATTGTATTTTCCTCATTTGGATTGGAAATTCTTGGGCTGGCTTCACAGCTTTGTTTTGGTACTTTCCTTTGCCCTCGTTCTGAGTTTTTTCTCAACTTCTCTGATATGTTGGAGCTTTGACATTGTGGATTCCAAGTCTACCTCACCTTACTGGAGCATATTCTTCACTAACTTTCTCAAAAAAGGTGCTTTGAAAGTAAATTTTTTGAGTCCTTATAGGCTTGAAAATATTATTATTGTACCCTCACATTTGATTTAATATTTGAATAATTATATAATTCTAGATTGCAATTTTGACCCTTTCAAATTTAATTTCAACAGCATTTGCTTATTGAATTCTTTCTTTCAGCACTGTTCTTTTAAGTCTAATACCACCTTGACATTTTTATATGTGTTTATTTTGTCTGAATGTTTTTTTCCCCTTTGTTGTGGGGTTGAAATTTGGGTTCAAAATAAGACCACCGGAGGCTGATGATTACTAATTTAAAAAAGCAGGCAAGGATTTATTGAAATAAAAACTGGCCAGGACAGCTGCAAGAGCACCACACGCAGGTGGTCTCCACACGACTGTACCGTTTCAGGGGTAGGCAATTCCTTTTAAAGGTTCAAACCACAGGAATTTTCCTTTGTTCTAAATTCTAAATCCTAAAGAATATGTTCTAAAGACTGGGGTCAGCCTGCAGGGTCGTTGCTAGTCACATCCTGCGGGACATTGGAATGTGGCCCTATCTTGCGATAGCTGATAACACAGAAGCAGAGCTCAGCGGTTAGTCTGTAAAGGTTATCTACAGTTTCTATCCCTGAAGCTACTGTGTCAGTGGGAATCAATCTCCTGTGGTCCTGGTCCCAGGCAAGGGAAAATTGCCTTAGCCCCCAGGTCTCCACCTGGAAGCTGAGGTAAGTATTCCGTGTTTAATCAGGCAGGAGCCAGACTTAGCAGGGTTAAAATTCAAACAGCAGTTTTTACCAAAGTATGGCTGCCACTATATTTCACCTTCTCTTTATTTCTGATGGTCTGAAATTTCAAAAGATCTGCGTTAGTGTGGATCTCTTTGATTCATTGGGCTCTTTTAATATGGAAATTTAGATCACTCAATTTTGACAATTTTGCTTGTATTACTTTCTATATTATCCTCTTATTTTTCTTGGTTTTCTCTTGTGAAACTTCTGTTATCTGGTTGTTTAAATTTTTGGTCAAGTCTTTTTTGTATTGATTTTTATTTATTTTGTCTTATGTTAGTCAACAAACTTCTCTGGAGCTCAGTGTTACACAAAAACAAGCATTTGGTACTCACCAGTCTGTAGTGGGCTAGGGCTCTGCAAGGTTTGGCTGGACTTCACAGGTGAGGGTCATCTGCCGCTTCTATTTCTCATCTTCCTTAGACCAGTAGCTTCTTCAATGGCAGATGTTCAAGAAATGTGCCTGTTGAGACTTTGGTTTGGAAACAATGCATGATCACTTCTGCATACATGTTTTTGGCCTTGTTGTCCTAGCCCAGCATCAAGAGATTTAAAAAAAAAAAAAAAAAAAAAATGGCCTCTATTCAGTGGGGAAAAGGAGAAAATATTTTCTGGAAATTAATTTATCACACTTATGTTATTTTTTATTTTTGTTTGTGGAAGGTTCTTCTTTCTGAAAGATTTCCTGTTGTATTTCTCTTATATCATATTTTTTATTTCCAAGACTCTTATTTGTTCTTTTTTTTTTCTAACAATGCCACTTCTTTTAAATAAAACAATGCTTTTCTCATATCTATCTGAATAATAATCTGCTTTTACTCTTTAAAAAATGTTTGTCCTGCATTCTATATTCCTCTTGGAGTTTTTTCTTTTTCTTTACTATGTTTCTGTCTTACATAATAGAAGCTATATTTAACTGTCTAATGATATTTCACTGATTCAAAAGTGAAACACCCTCCTTAGATGGAATTTTGTGAGTATAGGTAAGGATTGTTTTTTAAAAATATATATTTTATTGATATTTTACAGAGAGGAAGGGAGAGGGATAGAGAGTTAGAAACACGGATGAGAGAGAAACATCGACCAGCTGCCTCCTGCACACCTCCTACTGGGGATATGCTCGCAACTAAGGTACATGCCCTTGACCAGAATCAAACCTAGGACCTCTCAATCCGCAGGCCAATGCTCTATCCACTGAGCCAAATCAGTCAGAGCATAGGTAGGGATTATTGATGGGTCAGTTTTATAGCCAAATAGTTGGATAGGAGATCCAGCTATTTTGTTGCTCTTCTTATGTCAATAGTAGAGGCGCAGGGCACAAATTTGTGCATGGGTGGGGTCCCTTGGCCTGGCTGGCAATTGGGGCTGATCAGGACTGGCTGGCCA